AATTTTGATTCGAGTTCCATATGCAAATTACCATGCTCTCACACAAAAGGTCATAAAACGCCCCAGTATTTCCAACCTCCCGCTTGGAATTTCAGCCTTTCTCATTGGACAAGCCCAACCTGAGAGGCGTGAATCTTCTCAGACCTTAAAAGACTCGCACACAGTTCCGCCCATGTTCGTTCTTGTTGTTCTTCTGCTAAGAAGCGTGTTGGAGCCTGAGCCGGTGCGGGCGTGCCCGGTGAGCTCCAACACATAGCCACTTAGCCAGTCAGTCTGCGGTTCGGTTAGATTCTGAGAAGGTGAGGATGTGAGCTAGAACGCTTCTAAGGACACCCTAAGTCTGTGCCAGGCCTCGTGCCTAGTCTTTCCATTCATCAAGATCCTCTGTCTCAAAATGGTTCTTTCTCATCACCTAACTTCAGCCAACCTACTGGAGCCCCAAAGAGCATCAGGACTCTTTTTCAAACAGGCGAGATGTGCAAGTATCAAACGTAGTCTTATTAATTAATACATTAAGTATCATTTGCACCTTTTTCAAAGGTGTGTTTGAACTAAAAAACTGATGTTTCCTTCAGGCTGTAGATCTGCTGAATATCAATTGGTACCATAGCTTCGTGTTTTTATTTCTCTTCTCTTTACTGCTTAAGCTTTAACCCTTTTTCCTATGCCAACTGTATGCGTGTGTGTGTGTGTGTGTGTGTGTATGTTAGACTAGTTTAAGTGTGTATGTAGTTAATAAAGTCTTTCTTGTATCACACTTGACGTTGTTCGTTGTTTGCTCATAACTGGAGTCACTTAATCATGCAGATTTATGCTACATGCTCGGAGTAGTATTGTACAGCAAGGAAGTTATTTCCCTTAACCAGGAAATTAACGTTCTTAGAATTGACAGACAGTTGACCCTGAGAGGTCAAGTAAATACTTAGAGCGGATCTAAATATTTATATTTAATTATTACTAGTTATAATTAAACATTCATATTTCCCCTTTGAGCTGATTCACTACAGCTCCTAAAAAAATACAAGTGCAGAGCCCTGCGTAGTATGCTGGGTGCATGTGATATATCTCCTGGTTATTATGAATTGGATTCTTCTGGAGTCCACTTCCTGTGTTGTTTGTGTGCAGCTGTTAGAGGAAAAGCAGGTCTAGAGTATCAGACTCGGGTTACAGTGTAAATGTGGAACAAAGAGCGAGGCTTACTCACACATACAAACACTTCTCAGCGTTTCACCTCCAACTGCTCCTATTTTTGGCCTGTGTGCTCGAGCCTCCCGATGAATGCTTGGACTCTTGCTTTCATTCAGACCAGAACACAGGCCTCCAGTTTGGCAAGAGCGGCTTTCACACACACAAACACATCTAAACTCCATCGCATTGCCGTGTTTGCAGCCAAATTAGAGGCCAATTTTAGCTCGGTTGCTTTTCATCCCTCCCTTTCCCAGTGTTTGTCAATGTGATTCCTAACCTTGTCATATTTCTCTTTACGCAGATGTGAAGAAGGACTGGTCTGATCACGCGCTGTGGTGGGAGAAGAAGAAGACCTGGCTGCTAAAGACGCACTGGACGCTTGATAAATATGGCATTCAGGCCGACGCCAGGCTGCTCTTCACGCCGCAGCACAAGCTGTTGCGCCTGCAGCTGCCCAACATGAAGCACATGAGGGTGAAGGTCAACTTCTCTGACCGCGTCTTCAAGGCCGTGTCCGACATCTGCAAAACCTTCAGTGAGTGCTGCTGCCTTCCCTTTTTCATAACTCCATTAGCCTAAATCAATCTCCCCACTGGTCGTGAAGAACAGTAAGTCAGGATAATTGTGTTATTTTGCTATACATTAGAGTGCATTCACCCTTCAGTGCTGAGAACAGATGTAGGCTTTGGTAGAGAGATGGTGCTAAATCAGAATACAGCGACCGTTTAAAGGCCCCCTTAAAATGAACTGACAAACACAATTGTTTTCATGTGCTGATGTATTTCATATTGACCAGTCCAAGGGCACATGCTTTTTAAAAAGCAATAACCTTTAGTTAGCTAATGTTAGCCTACTAAAAACTATAATAAAAAAAAAATATTGTGAAACAATGCATTATGCAATGATAAACATTTAAAGCACTAGTGTGCCATGTTGTAGTCACTAGTGGTCATTTCATATGGGTTTTTAATGGTTGATGTGGATCATCTTAGAGACGGATGATTGATATAATGTCAATATTTATGATTTCAGTCAGTTTAATGCTAATAAAAACAACATATTTATTTAAATCACTCTAAATTATTTTGAAAGTTAAACATTTTTTGGTAAAAAAAATTTTAAACTTGATTTATA